AAAAAAAAAAAAAACCTCGTTAAAAAACAAACTGTTGCTGCCTGAGAAAGAAAAAACAGAAAAACAACAGAAACTACAAACTGATTCGTCTCAAACTGAGCTGCTCGTTTTCATCTGGATGAAAAAAGGAGATTAAAAAGATATAAAACAGAACTGCTCAGAAGTCAAACAGCAAAGAAGGTTTGATTAAAATCAGACAAAGTCACAATAAAACTGAATTATTCAGGTGAGCAGCAGCTCCTCCACTGCCTGCCTCCGGCCACTAGAGGGCGCTGCTGATCAGCCACAGACGGTCAAACCTGCGCCAGAACAAAGACTCTCTGGAAACATTTCTTCTCTTTAATGGAGCAATAAAATCAGGAGCTGTGAGAAAATCTGCACATGTGAGTTTAAACAAAAGAAACTGAGTCTTTGCAGCAGAAAATATCAGAATAATTATAAAAATCAGTGGATTAGGTCTTAAAAAGCTGGAACAAGTTAAATAAATCATCATGCACAAATACCATATTTCCATTTTTTTCTAACGTTTCCCTTCATCTGATTGGTTCTGTGCTGCTGTTTTTGCTGTTTTCTACATTTCAGTCCATTCAAAACCACATAATTATCAGTTTACCAGCACGTCTCCTCACCTCAGTGTAAAATGTTGAATTATCTGTTGAATCTGAGGTGAGAAAAGCAGCAGAAGCTGAAGAGAGAAAGCCTCAGAGCTTCTACAAACATCATTTATTAAGCTGCTCGTCGTTTTCTCAGTTAAATATTCAACAGTTTCACCTGTAAAGTCGCAGAAAACGTTCAAATCGTTCCACCAAGAGTCTAAAAACTGGATTTATTCTGTTTCACTACCAGTTCAGACGACACAAAGCAGAAAATCATCCACGTGTTGCTCTAAATAAGTCCTAAAAGAACAATTTATTCATCTTTAAGTGGTTGATTAATCGTCTCTTTATCAATTAAATGATAAATAAATAAAGTTTTCAGCTGCAGAAAGCATCAAACACACAAAGATGTTCACATTTTCACAAGCTTTTCTTGTTTTTGCTGGTTTCACACCAGTTTAAGGAACATTTTACAGTTTGCAGCATAAGCAGGCTGGTTCAAAAATGATTCATTCAAACAGCAGAAAACTTAAATTAATCCCCAAAACGTCCGTTTAGGACAGTTTGTGGAGCCACTTGACTCATTTTTCTTTATGTTGCAGATGTTTGTGTTTTTATTTGGCTTCATATCCAGAAAATATAACCAGTGTTTTGGATTTGTTCTCTTAAAATGTGACCACAACATAATAAAAACGACTTTATTCATATAAAAACAGAGCGAACAAAGTGCTTTATAGAAAAAAGAACCAAAAGAAGAAAATAAGATAAACACAAAGATTAAAAAGAAGAAGGAACAATTGTTGGAATCATGGTTTAAAAATGAACAAACGGTTTAAAAGGAAGCAAATGAACAAATAAAATAAAGAAAATTCAAAATTAATTTGACAATAAATCCCATAAAAATGACTCGACTCCAGTCTTTTATATTTAATATTTCTAATTAATCTCGTTTAAATGATCATAAATGAAACCTTTAAACTCTGTTGATGTGTGAACCAGATGAGATGCTTTATGGATCTGAACCAGTTTTCTCTCTGATTGAATCCCTTCAGCCTCCAGTTAGCAGGAGAACAACCAGAGCTCAGAGCTTCCTGTCACGCGTTTCACTCCTTTCATTTCATTAAACAGTGTTTGTATGAAGCAGGTGAATCGCTGCCAAACCCACACATTCCTTCACTAAAGAGACGTTTAAAGCTGCTCTGCTGGCTTCACATCCATGTGAGGAAACATCTCAGCAGCAGCGTTCCTCCTCCTCTGCAGGGATTGAAGGTTTTTTGTTCTGTTGTGTTTCAGCCGAGCAGGTAGACGAGGTTCAGTCTGAGGAGGACAAATGAAGAAGCGTCTTCATGTACGAGGTTTATCAGGACGACGCTCGTCTGTTGTCTGAATAAAACCAGAAAACAGCTTCAGGTTTTCTATGGACGTGACGGATAAACGTCTCATAAAAGAGGATTTTCTGCTTTTCTTTACTGTTTCATGTGTTTATAAAACTGATGCTTGGTGTCCTACAGAAACACATGCAGCAAATATTTAATATATTTATTGATGAAACAGACTGATCAGTGATTCACTGATTTAAAGATTAAAATGTGACAGAAAACTCAGTCCGTCGTGGTTTTAAAGCAGCTTTCTTATTTTACTCAGTGAATGTTTTTAAA